GGTACAGTGTGTGAAGCCGATTTGGGGCCGATTTTTCTGGTGTGCCCCAAGATCTGAGTGAGTGAGTGAGTATGGTTTTGCACTGCTTTTAGAAATATTCCAGCAATATCATGATGGGGCACATCAGAAATCGGGTAAACACATTGTACCTCGTTGTGATATTGCTGGAATATTGCTAAAAGCAGTGCAAAACCATACCCACCCACTCACTCACTCACTCACAAAAAATTTGCACCTTTTTCAGAAGTAAAGATGTAATGAGACATACTGAAACCCTGATGGTCTCCTACTTTTTTAAGCCTTTTAGCTTCTGTTAGACAGCTGTGAGAAGATGACACTCTCTCTTCCTTCCTTATGTACCCCCTTGCTACAGGACTGACTGACTGATTCTACCACTTATAAAAAAATATGAGTAGTGACACTAGTTCCTCCACAAGTGTTACTCCGGAGCAGTCAATCTGTTTCCTCCTGTACCAGTTGCTATGTGTCGTGGTTGTCGAGATGGTGATGGCGATGTGGAAGACGAATCCCCAAGTAGTTGTTGAGTCCAGAGGCTGGTATTGGCCCATCCACAAGGAAGTAGCAGACTTACTTGTCACTGTTAACTAGTTGATAGACCCGGGACAAAAAGCCTGACCTCATGTTTCCTCATTTATTCAAGGTCACTGTGACTTGGATAAGATCTCAAGGCTGCAGGATGTGTTATAATTGGATCTCATTTCCTTGTTGTCTAATTGGATTTCGTATTAGACTTGTTGGGAGATGTATTTTTAAGAGTAATATGTCGTTAGCTTAAGGAAATACTGGTAATGTTATTACTGATTGTTTTTGTAAAAATGATGATGATGATGATGATGATGATGATCACCAAAACCCTCTTTGCTGCATTTTTTATTTTAATCTGTTAATAATAATAATAATAATAATAATAATTCAAAGCACTTCAATGTACCAATTTATGAAAATAATATACAGAGGAAGATTTGATAGATGATAAGGACTAGATTGATTAGTAATATGGACTCTGTGTTTTTGTTGTGTAAAATAGAACAGACGAGATGCATTGTGTTGAAAATAGGGATAATATGTATCTCATTGGTGCATCTGTTTATTGGGTTAAGTTCTGTTTACTCAGTTACTCACCATGCCGTCAACTAAAGTTTCTTATAGAACAGAAGATTGGAAAAACGTCTAAATCGTTATTAATGTCATCAAGAGAGTTTGACAAAGGGACACAGCAGTTTTGTTTGTGGTTCAAACTGAAGTTGGGTGCGGTATTCTGCTATGTCATGGATGTGTGCAGAAGCGGAGCGCAGGGCTGAGCTGCTGACGAAGATCTCCTGAGCCTAGTGCAACGAGCACTGTGACAACCTTCAACATTTACTCTTAGCTACTTCCCGATAGTTTCTCAAACAATGGACTTGAGCAGCAACTTAAGAGTTGACGTTGAATCCGGCGGCTTGTGTCTGTAGAATGACTGCACCATGTGGGCAACACTGGGGAGGTTACCGAGTTCAGTTTGTTTACGCCATTGCCGTCAGATCCTTCGTACTTGCGTCAGGTGCTTTCTTACAAACTGCCTCAAAGAGATTCTGAGAAGGGATGTTGTCGCTAAAAATAGCCAGTTTCAGTAATCATCTGGACTGAGGTTTTTCCCGGGTTCAATTTGTAGCATGATGACGAAGTTGCCGGTACCACCGTACCACTGTACCACTGTAGATGTTTATTGTTGTTCACACAATCAGCTGGGACATTTTTATAATTTTAGACTAAATACCAAAGGTTTGTTTGTTACAGTAAACTACGTTGGTCTTAGACAGGTGGTGTTTGCGTGTCATGGTTGCTATGACAGTGTGAACATCCTATGCGCATGATAAAAAACAATCAATTGGCTGTATAGATTTGAAGCCGGAAAAAGAGAATACATAATCAGATGGTGCTTCATTATTATTTGGCCCAATAGATAATATTTTTTTATTTTTAATGAAACATTGCCAAAAAAAAGATATATTTTTATTAAACATAGTTCCAAAACTTTCTTCTTCTTTTTTTCATCTTGCCTAGATAACATGTATTTATTCTCTCTCTCTCTCTTTTCTCTCCCCCCCAAAACAACAACAAACAAACAAAAAACCCAAGATAGGAACACAAACCCTCATTATATTTTTCAACTTTTACACAGAGCATTCAAAGGTTTTAAATGTAAAATATGTACAGGTAGTCTTCATACTTCCCCTTTATCATGCTTATCAAGCCACAAGTGGAAATATATTCCCGGTCTTTATCTGTAACTTCCACCAGCCTGTCATCCATACAGTTTTCCTATTATGTGTTGCAACGTACCCATGCTTAGTCATAAGCCATTATCTCTAGATTTGAGTTTGACCTACATCTCTTGCTGACCAAGGTACAAGCTTATGGCTCTAAGGGACTTGAGTATTCAGGCTATCTGCAGCTTGTTTGTCCAGGGTTGTATGTATGTAGATATATATAGGGTGAAGATAGTGGAAGTTGGATAAGTGTCGGGCGGGCTCCGTCTACCCTTCGAGGGATTGTATAGGCTTACGCGAGGAAGAGGAAATAGTTGTTGTTCCTCGTGTGAGTGACTTTCCTGCCTGGTAACGTGCAAGTTGCAACCTGTGCGACTATGGAGATTATCTACCTGTTTGGGCAGATGGCCAGGTTCTTGTGTGATATGACTTTGGGTTGACCTAAGATTGCACAGTCACACTCCTTACTTGGCTGTGACAAATATACCCTATAATATATGATCAGATCAGTAATATATCAAGCGTAAACCGTTCACTACTGTTCTTTTGTGTTGAGTGTTTGGTCATGGTTATGTTTTGTTCCTAAAGAAATCTGAATAAAAATCATGTTGTGTTCCAGACATAATAAATATCCCAGTAACATGTATTGTACATGGTTTTTTTTACATCTATGAAAGTTAGTGTTAGGTTTCTGTCTTATAACAGAATGTTTCTCATCTTGATATTCAGTATGACACATGTCATGTTTTGTAGGAATCATTTTAAAATAATGATCGTGTTGAAATCAAAATGAACTATGTCTTATCATTTTGTTGTACATTGTTTTGAACAAGTAGGAAAATTAGGGCCTTTCTGTACACAAACCACAAACAGAAAATAATTCAAAATTCTAATAGGGATTGTCAGTATCATCTAATAGTGATATTTTTAGAAATATCTCTAGAATAATGTTTATTTTGAACAACTAGGTTAATTCCTGGCTGGTTGCTGTATTTGTGTAATGTTAATTCTGATGGAGCTACTAAGTATCCTTCCACAATGCTTTAAAAGTACGTCTTAGGTCATTGCCTTAGATTGATATAGCTCCTTGAAGAGAGTATTGATCGTTTTCAGCCACTGCGATCCTCCAGATCGTTACATACATAGTAGCCACAATGCTGCCATATGTCAGATATAGCTCACATGAGAGCTGTATACCTCGACCGGGATATAACAGTTGGGAAGCATCTGTGCATGACAGTATATCTCGTACAGCCTAGAGCCGTGTTGTGTTCATGACGTCATGTCACACGTTGCTAGGATAGATATTAGATTGTAGTCATCAGGAACGGAATATGTAACACACAACCTTGACCTTTTCATTACTGGTCTGATCAATATGGTACAACGGAAGGCTGCCGTTCTAATTGATGTCAGAAGCATAGAAGTGATGCCTGATGTTGGCGAAATGTATGGCAGTCATGTGGATCTGTGATTGTGATGGGCTGACCTGGGTATTGGGAGGTGTCATTTTAGTGGGTTTCAGCAACAAACCATGTCATGACAACAGCGCACTCCCTTTCTTGAAACTTTTCTTATGTCATGAACATTACATTATCATTAAAGCAATACTTCCTGAAGAATCACAATTTGTTTAAGCTGGACTTCTTTTCAAAGCATAACATCTTACATTTTGGTTCTAAAATCTATACTATTAAAGCAAAGGTGGGGACTTTATGCTTTTATATTACTACAGTTAATCTGTTAAAGCATGCAGATAAACTACAGTAATATGAAAGAAATAAGTGATCCTTAACTTTTTTCGAGTAGTATATTTTGATGTATAGCAATAGGAATTGGTGCAAAAAAAATGAATTCCATTTCACAGGGAAATGAAAGTCTGATTGATTGCTGCAGCTAACTTGTTGTCATTTAATCACTCTCACTCACAATGTCATCCGGGAGTATTTCTGTGTAGCTGATAATGCCATGACATCCAACTGTCATGACACACTGGATGTAGCTGTCTTTCAGTGACTCACATTGTCTCATAATGATCCAGATTTAGGATACAATTTGTAAATGTCGCTGATTTTCAGTGTTTGGAACTTAAATATTCATGTAGATAGAGTAACACGCACTCCACAAAACATACACGATAATCGCCCAAAGAATTATTTAAAGGTGAATTATCCCATAATCCTTTGTTTCATTGTGCAGTGTTGTTGAGATAGAATGATGGAACAGTAATACTACCCTGCCTTGATGAATGTTTTGTCTGGGGAACAATTTTGATCAAGGGTGTGGGCCATTCATCATTGCAGCTGAAATTAAATTCCATGGCGTTAGCTCAGTGCTTTTTCTTGTTTCTGTGATAGTGGCCCTAAAAATGACATGAAACATATTGGCTCCGGAGCCATTGTTATATCTGTTTCCAAATATGATTGGTGGAGCGTTTTGTTTTCGAAGAAACTAAATTGTACAGAAAATGCAAAGTTCATGTGTTGAACTACACTATTTCCCTCCATCAACCAACATACTACTGCAGATGGAATATCTTATTAGACTGAATGTTATTTTTGAAATGCGTTATCGTTGACACTGTACATGCCTGTAAAGTCTGTAAGTGTAAAGAATATGAAAGATTTTCCTTTGCAGAATGTCCTGATTTGCCTCCAGATGCCCAAGTTTATTTTATTTAGACATTTGAGTGTTATTTCAGCATTTGTAACGCCTGTTTTTGTGTTTCAGTGGATGCATGCGAGCAGCAACAGAAGAATGGCCGCCAAGTGGCAGCAGAGGCATTGCTTAGTATGGATTCCCCGACTAACAGCATGGAGAGCAAGACCTTCCTCCACGGGATCCTGCACGACCAGCAACGTAAGTAGCCACATCCCTCTCTGTTACACCATCTGAACATCCTCGTCACATCTGACACCCACTGTCACACCATCTAACCATCAGGGTCACATCATCTGACTATGATCGGCAAAGTGTGAGAGCTGCTTAAGTAACACTAATTATTTATTAACTCCACATGGTTTCTGCTGCTATACAGGACACGGGTACTTTGGGCATATTACCATAGTGGAACAAGGGCAGCAGCCCATTCTATAAAACACCGCGATATAACAGGAATACTATTAAAAGTGGCGTTAAACCCAACTCACTCACTCACTCACTCATTCAATAAAACAGTCTTTCTGTTCACCTGGAAGTTTGGCAACACCATTGCTGTCAAATATGTGAAACGGGATCCAATGTCCATGGCACTAAATCTTCCAATCCAGTACCTCTGCAGTGTCAGGTACTTATTTGTGATCTCCTCTTTGCTTTCACCATGGGGACATGGAACAAAGTGTGTTGACAGGCACATGATCTACCAGCTGGTATCAACATGTTCATGGTAACTCCTCAGTCATTCGGAGACTGATGATATATTTGTTCGCACTTAACACAGGCCTGCTTGAATCCTCTGCGGATATGGACAATCTTAGATGTTGTTGCCAAACAATTGCCCACATGCTTGGTGATAAGATTGTAAGGGAGAATACAAATTGCCATTTGTTATTGTAGAGATTTCTTGATCTTGAACTCAATTTGAAAGAAAATGCCTTAAGAGTTTACATCTGTTTCTGTTACTTTGTTGTGTATGCCACCAAAATTATTATAAATATAAGCGACAAAAATCATTTTCATAATCATAAGATTTCTCTACTAAAAGACCTGTGAAGATCCGGGTTAGAATAGTCTTCAGCAACTATGTTTGTCGTAAGAGGCGACTAACAGGACAGGGTCATCAGGCTCGCTGACTTCAGTGGTTGATGCATGTCACCGTATCCCAATTAGGTGGATCGATGCTAATGGTGTCAATAACTGGATTGTCTGGTCCAGACTCGATTATTTACAGCCGGCGAATATTGCTGAGTGTGGCGGTAAACAACAAAAAACAAATCTCTACTAAAAGCCTAGTCCATTGTAGGATTCTGACATATATGATCCTGAAACTGTTCCAAGCCTTGTTTTATTCCAGATTAGATTTTATGGCCATATAACATATCCTTCATGCCATGCACAGAAATACCTAGGAAAAATGTATACCGATACAGGTGGAAATACCAGTCAACAGCTATATTTAGAAGTGGAAATCTATTCAAGTTTCGCTTTTCTTTTGCACTGGTTCAGTTTTGAAATGACTGTTCAAATTATCCTCCCTCATTCAAACATGAATTCAAGCTACCATTCAGGATCAGTCCTTTGTGAAAAGCAGTCTTTGAATACCAGTTTGAAAATATAGAAACATGTTACTTGCACAAAGGCTTGCAGGCCACAACGGGTACATAGTATGATACAGCTCTTTCCAACCCATTTGTGAATAAAGGTATATATCTTGATAATACCCTGCATTGGCAGTTTATGCCCAGACTCATCGTGAAGTGTAAAAATAGACGCAATATATGAATTTTCATGAAATGCATCAAACGTTAATCTCAATTTGAATTTTGAATTAGAATTTGTTGAAATTGTATCCGCTCCAACAATGTATATCATATGCATGTCATGCTGACCAACCAAATAATTGTATGAGCCAAATCCTGATGAAATGTCTGTTGGTGTTGATGGGATTGACATGTTTTGACAACAGGGAACATTAAAATAAACAACAAGGGTAGCAGACTTTAATATGGTTTATCAATTCACATAAAAAACACTAGAGTATGATTTTAATTAATAAATAGAAACTTCTTTTGTATTTCTTTATGATGGAGTCCTGTTAATTTTCTATAATGAATTTTAGGTAAATTAGAAATTTAATCTGCCCCAGTGATATTATACCTACCTGCTCTGGTACCGAAATGCTGGTGCAAGTAAGCAATATGTTATAAGGAAAGGTTTATGAGTTTTAGTGGGTTTGGGGAAGCTGCACACTTTAACTGTGATGAAACAACTGCACAGCCGGTGCATGGAAACCTTTGGGATGACATGACAATGCAAACAGTGGGCATGACATGCTAAGTGTTGAGCATGTTGCCAGTGCGGGGGAGGCATGACAACCATGCAGAAATCACCGCATCAATTTACCTTGTTAGCATAGCTGGGATACACTGTGAGCCGAACGTCCCAGCCTCCCTTGCCTTGTGTTGCAGGCTGGCGACTGTGTTTGCTCGGCTGTGTTTAATTATGGATTTGTATGTTGAATCCATGCAAACCTTATGCTCAAACTGTGATCTGCCGCACAAGTCTGTTGCTAAATGTCTGGCGTAGCATTTCCTCCACTACTGTTGCCGTGTCACCAAGTGCAGTCCCTGTACTCCCCGCCTCGTCTATGTGGAATTGCCATGGAAATGCCTGTGTCACGTGGACCTGAACTCGCCAAGTCAGGAAGAACAGGCAGATTTCCATGTTTAAATACCCGCCATCTCCGTAGCCAATGGGATGCTCACAAACAAGCTTCTGCACCCTCTGACATAGAGTCACAGTACCGGAATCTCCATGACTACTGCCTCATTGAAAGCACCTGTCCTCTGTTTGTAAACAAAATAATCGATCAGATTAAGGCAGTCTGCATGCTGAGTGCTGTCGACAGCACCCACATAAGGCCATAAACCTGTCAAAAAAATACACTACTTAACTCCTGATAAGGATATTCCCAGTCCATGATGTACTTTATAATATACCACTGAACATTTGATATGGACCACACCTTTACCATGTTTACTTGAGATGACTTTTTTGATCAATAGCAATAAAATTATTGTTGAGTAGTATAGTATGAAATAGGCCTGTATCTTTATCAAATGTTGAGTAGTACTCAGATAGTATCCTCAACAAGGTTTAATATTCATCAGTGGGTGTTGATGGAGATGCAATCATGTATGAGTTTGATACAGTTGTTATTCATATTAATTACCACTGAATACATATTTAGTTATTGTCTCAATGGTGTTGGCAATAAATGTTGTTCCACATGTTGTTGCAAATAATGGTGTTCCACAAGGTTCTGTTCTTGGATCTTTTCTGTTCAAGGATTCAAGTTTCATCAGGAAACTGACGTATTTGCATATAAAACAACAAGAGTGATAAAATTCTCACTAGAACTCTTTCCTGTGTATTCAAGTTATGGTGGATGAGAAACAACTGCAGTTTGAAGCAGCTAGCGGGAACTTGCTCGACGTGAAATGTTACCTTAAAACATATGTAGTTTGAAACTGACTGCTGGGAACATCCAACCATCCATCCATCAGTCCATCCATTAGTCCATCCATCCATCCATCCATCAGTCTCATCAGTCTCATCACACTGGAATTATACCTGTTTGATTGAAAACTTTTATCACTGAGTGTGATGATAATTTTGATGCAAAGACTGCTGTTTTCACCTTTGCTGAAATATAGCACCTTCATTTGAAATACAGAATTCTGAAGACAATGAATCAACAATTAAGTCTGATGTTTTCTTTTGCAGCCTCTTTGCCTCCCAGTCCTGCAGACAGCGGTGTCTCAGACATTGACAGCAACTCCGACGACATAAAAATGAGATTACATGGTTCTTACAGTAAGTAGTTCCCGTATTCCATGTTCCATCTTTAAGTGGTGTTTTAGAAGGTGTGGTATCAATGATATTACAATGGTAATGCTTCTTTACTATTCTTTGATGTTGAAGTCCAACAGTTAACCTGTCTTTGTTAATTTGCCAAATAGTGTTCACAGTCAGCATCGATGATAAAGAGTTGAGTCAGCTTGCTCTCATAATGTTAAAATAGTTACAAATATATTCATTGAAAGGCATTTGGAAGTGATGCACATAAATAAGAGAATTTATGGATGTCAACTTCTTTATTGTGATAAAGAAATTGACATCCATAAATTCTCTTCCTTACAAATATATTATATAATGTTACTGATTGCTCATTTCTTTCTCAGTATTAATGTTTTGATGTGATTTGCCATTAGAATGGCTACTGATGAATGGTTTCGTGTATTTTTCAGCATTCATCCCAAGTCCCCCTGTACCAGGCCCCAGTCCGTTCATCCCCCCATACTGCCAGCCACCCCCAGCACACCAGCCCCTCCCCGCACACTTCAACACAGCTACACATATCGCCATGAGACCAGGTGAGCTTTCATTCCCACGTGTCACAGTATTCTTACGCTTCATAACCATGTATTATAGTATTGTAAGCATACATATCTCTTGTTAACTTACACACCTGTCTGTCATAATTTTGTTAACTTACATACCTAACTATGATAGTATTGCCAGTTATATAACATAGTATTGTTAGCCTACACATCTATTGTGGGAGGGCACAGGTGGCCCAGTCTTCTAAGGGGCCGCACATTCACTGTGCAAAGTTGTGTCCCTTTGGCACGCCAGAAACCTATGATTGTGGGTTTGAATCCTGGTTTGTCCCGATTATTTTTCTTGGTTTGTCAACACCATCCTCATGCTTGTTGGTTTCACCGAAGTGGTAAACATCTAAGACCTGCATCACTTTGGGCTTTCCACCCACATTAAGCCGACACGCCGTGATATGACTGTTAAAAGTGGCGTTAAACAGAACTCACACACTCATAGCCATTGTTGTCTTAAATTCTATCATTGTATTGTTAGCCTATATGCCTATTAATCATAGTATTGTTGGCCTACACCCCTATTGTGTATCAGTATTGTTAGCCTGTATACCTATTAATCATAGTATTGTTGACCTACACACCTATTAATGTGTCAGTATTGTTAGCCTACACACCTATTGATGTGTCAGATTTGTTGGCCAACATACCTTTCGCTCATAGTATTGTTAGCCTACGTACCTCTTAATCATAGTATGTGTTAGCCATTTAATATTTTATTGAGTAATATTTCAGCGAAATTCACTGTTCTATTTTCTCTGCTCACTTATATATGTATAAGTTCATTTTGGGCTTAAGTTTAGCTTTATGGCAGTTTCATAATCAGCATATTTATGAAGTAAAATGGATCTGGGACTTTTTAGCTTTCAATGGAAAGTCTTGTGGATTTAACAGTTTCAAGATTGCTGGCTAGTGTCTCTTGCTCTCTGAATGTCAGGTTATATGATGGGATCCTGCTATAATACTAGTGCCAGGAGAGACCTGCAAGTTTGTAATTCGATCAGATGAATAAATTAACTCACACCAAAATTGAATTGATGTGGTAAATAAGCCAGCTGTTCAAGCAGTTCTATTTATAACCACCATTTCTATCTATCATCTATAGATCTATCATAAGTCAAGAGCCATGGAAACTGGAAATATTGTGGTACAAAACAAATACATAATGGTTAAAGGGTCCATATGACTAAAAGAAGAACCTATAAATTTTAGGACAAACTGACAATATGCACATAGACATAGACATAGACATAGGTTAGACATAAGGGGGTCCTTGAGATTTGATGCTATGGTACTATTTGAGTCTAACTTTAAACTGCCGAGTTGTTTATCTGTTTACATTAGTGCTATGACAAGGACCTTGACTGTGACTCATTTTCGATACTTTGTCAACACAGTATTTTCATATCTGGTCCAACAGCCAGTGTGTATCTACCATCGGTATTCGTGGCCAATGTATGGCCTGCATGACAGCACAGTAGGTAGCTACAGCTGGCGTCATAGAGAACATCCCAGAACAACACAGATGCTGACATATCTACAACATCAGGCCACAATAAACTTGTACTGATATCACAGTTCATTGTCAGTGCGTTAGTTATAGAGACAGATGGCATTAGGACTTTTTCAGGATTTCATGAAAATTCTGATGGGGCATGTTTCTATCCATACCAAATTTGGAAAATATTTATCAGACATTTTGGATGACAATCAGTCGGTGTCCCAGGTACTGAACTGTTGAGGTTCCTGATGGTATTAACACCACCTGCTGCCAGGATGTGTTTTCTGTCGTCTTGTCAACAACTGATGTGAAGTTAAAGAGGCACAATGCATCATGGTCCAGCTGCATCATCCGAAATATTTATGATGATCCTTTTACTAGAATCCGTTTTATCAACCTGCAAGCGTCGAGCCACCATTTGTATTGTGTTGTCTACAGCTGACATTGTATATGAATGAGGTGTTTGTGTGTGTATGTTTAGCTTCAACAAGTGCTAGTTAGGTTTTGAGGCCACAGTTCAAACCACATGGCGACTGTTTGGATAAATCTAAATAACATACTGCTTGCTATGTGATATAAAAATATAACTGGTTAATGCACCTGTGACCAAACACACTAAATGACTTTAAATTCCTAGTTTATTTTCGTATATTTGCTGTCTATCATATTGATAAGTATCTTTCAGTGATCATCAATATTTGTTAAAAGACACACGTACACAACTGAATTGTTTTTACATTTTTTTAAAATGGTGTCATGATATATTCTGAAAAGTGCACCATATGAATCAGGTCAGATCAGAAAGGATTGAATTTTAAGCTATTCATCGCTAACAATATCCAGATCTATCATCAAATCAGTTCGTACTTCCGATTTTGCTATGTTAGTACAGCAGTGACTAAACCCAACAATGTATGTATTGTAATACAAATTAATATTAGTCCTGAAATACACGTAGAATGGGAAGTAACAAGGCTAGGTTAATTCTGGTGTCGGAATACTGTCCTGATGCAACAGGAAAAGGTTAGACTGTGAGGCAGCAGAAACTGCGGAAACGAAATGTTTGTGTACACATACTAGGTATTAGTATGGAGGAAATATCAGTGTAGTGAGTAGAGAATCAAACTTTTGACTGGTGCTATTGTGTTGGAGAGGAAACTTCATGGTGACGTGTACGATTACATCTGGCATTTGGAGGCCATTTCCCCAACTTGCTATAATTGCAGCTATAACTTGACCCGCCCAACTGTGATTGTGGATGTTTCGAGTTTGAAATGAGGTCAGCGTTATGACTGAACACAATTGCAGTGTTGAGTTACAGACAGACAATAGGCATTGATAGGACCATAGGGAGCTCTGATACCATCCGGGAGGGAAGGAAGACTTTAATATCGCGTGCACGCACACGCACGCACACACACACACACACACACACACACACACACACACACACAGGCTCTATAGACAGTATTTGGAGGAACTTTATCATGTTGATGGGGACTTCAGTGGGATGGTTATGAAATCATATGAAGGCAATTTTCATTATTAGGAAAATGAATTTCGTCTGAATCATTAGAGTACCAGGTGTTGTTTACAAAGGCTGATTGTAATTATTCTTTTCACTGATTTTTATGAGGTAATTTCCATTTTTTTTCTCTTGGTGGTTGGTTGCTATGTTTGAATGAGGTTATCGGGAGTGTTTTGTGTACCGAAATAATTTGGTATTCTGTAAATGTATTGGGAATGGAATAATGTTTGCTTTGTGGAGAGGGTATATTGTGTGATTTGAAATGCATGGGTAAGAGGCTTTTGTGTTTGTGTGTGGTGGAATAGGGTAACAGAGTGTTTGTGAATAGTGCAGTTGTAGTTTCCTTGAGTGCATTTCCGAGGTTATTGTTAGCTCACCTGAATGGGACTCATGTGAGCCTATGTCATAGCACGTGAATGTGAGTACAAAGTTTAACATGGCCACCAGAGAAACTATTTATGCAATTCATAGATGGTTACAATTGTATGAGTGTGCGATTTGCTATGTGGTAAACTTCTGTGTTGGGTATCTCTTGCCATATTGCTAGAATATCGCTAAAAAGGGAATAAAACCCAACTCACTCACTTCTGTGTTGACATATATCAAGTTATTTTTGACCTTCGATAATCACTGATCCATTCTGACCCATTCTTATGAACAAGCAGATATGAACTTGTTTGAATATTTATCGCATATTTGAGTGGTAATATAGTAAATTCCCTGAAATAGGTGAGCTACAGAACCTCATTGCATTTTCAATAGCAGCTTTTCATGTTGTTGAACTTTAGCTGGATAGAAAGCAAATTATGAACAGAACTTTCATTGATTTGTTTTTTAAAATTATCTTCTCACAATAAGTGTGAAATAAAATGAAAATGCCCAAATAAGGCATGCAAGTGTTATGGAGGGTGTGGATGGTTGTGAACCCTTTACTAAATGATGTGTTTGTTTCAGACCATGTGTATCAGAACAACCTCCTCCCCACACCAGTCCAGCATGCCGGCAGCGAAGGCTCACCCAGCAACACCCCTCCAGCCTCCCCAGACAGACCCAAGAGCAAAAAAGGTATGTTTTGATGATACTGCTTTTTATTATATTCCATGGAGTGAGATTCTGGTCAGTCAATAATTGCAGAAACAATTACTTTACTTTTGACTGCATTGACATCTTGGATGATACCTTTTGTAAGAAACAAGCAGATAGGTTTGGGAGATTTCCCTACAATCAACACCTGGGTGTGGGGAAATTAAGGGAATGGTGCCGTTGTACAAAACAACCTAAGTGCTATGACTGTTGCAAGTCTATGTTAAGGTATGGGATTAACGGTCACCTTAGTGTTAAGATTGCTTTGTACAGCGGCACTCAGGTCCCTACAATCAACAGTTTACTGGGGAGAATTTACAGACGGATCTACAATTTAGTCTGCAAGAATTATGAGATAGGTGGCTGTGGCATGAGAGCTGATGATAATGGGGTTGATCATTGCTCAACATTATTGCATGTTGCAGTGAAAGGCCATCGTAATTTGGACATCATGTGTCTGATTGATTGAACTGGACCTTGACACTTATCTTTTTGCAGGTCGCAAACCCAAGAACCCTGAGTACCCAATGAACAGCCAGCCTAAGAGGAAGCGAGAAGGCAACACAACATACTTGTGGGAGTTCCTTCTATCCCTGCTGCAGAATCGCGAAACATGTCCACGGTATATCAAGTGGACAAACAGGGAAAAGGGAATCTTCAAGTTGGTTGACTCGAAGGCTGTGTCGAAGCTTTGGGGGATGCACAAGAATAAGCCCGATATGAACTATGAAACAATGGGAAGAGCACTAAGGTGAGTTTGACAGGGGGGTAATTCATCTGTGAAGTGATGGAACCAATAATCTTTGATAGACAAGATAATAATCAATGGACAATAAACAAGTATGCTTAGGGGCTTAGTTTGTACCTTGATGAACATGTCATTAGAGAGTCACTGAAACGTGTTCCAGATCGGCTCAAACCAAGCTCTGACAACCATGAAAACATTGACAAGAAAATCTAGATACTTTGAGGTATAATTGATAATGTTTGTGTTTATGGTACTGGATGTGTTTTGTTTCATGTTTCTCAAATGCCCTCATTCCTTTGTTCGTATAGGTACTACTATGCAAGAGGAATATTAAACAAAGTCGACGGGCAGAGACTTGTGTATCAATTCGCAGAGGTTCCAAAGGGGATAGTAGAGATCGACTGCCATAGTTAGTGTGTCAGACCCGATGTGTACATGTTGACTGAGCGTGACGGTGCCTGGCACTGACCAATCGTAACCCAGCACTTACACCAGCGACCCAACCACTGTGATAGATCTCCGTATGCTCCAGACCTTTATTCCCTGTCAAAGGACAGAGGCAGCAGGCAGGGTAATTGAGGGCGGGAGCTCAACTCTGCCCCCTCGTTCCCTGCCCTGGGACAGAGGCTGCAGGCAGGTGAGGGAGGGTGGGAGCTCAACTCTGTGCTTGTGATGGCCAGCTTGGATACTAACAGTCTACAAAGTTCCCCAGCAGGATTCAGAATGATCCTGGAAAGTGGCTGAACAGAAACTTCCGACAGCTCCATGCTAGTTGCTCCGGATCTGAGGCTGTGATGTCCCGAGTGCTCTCTGAGTGCTGCGTGAAGAGAACTAGAACGTCAGTTGCCTTGACAATTGTGTTGGGCAGCTTTCTGTAGATATAGGCAGCATGCCCGTCTTATGGTGCTGTTGTTGCAGTGACACAGAAGGACCCGTTTACTGGTTGCAGTGGAATGATCATCTGTCATTATGGACAACACTACCATCAGTACCAGTGACTTCATGTATTAACTGATATAGTGTTAACTGGTCGCTCTCTAAAGGAAAACAAATATTTTTAGAATTGACAATAGCTGGTGATGAACCTGTTCTATAGACAGTGGTCAGTTACCATGGTTACCACCATTAGATTTGAAAGTCATCTTCCATTCCATAAATCACTCCATCAGTTTAGTTTTACATACTGGGGATATTCCCCGAAAGGCCAGTACCTACCATGGAAATATTACAAAATATCTCAGTCGTGTGTACCCATTTTCAGACTGTGTGACTGCTAGAGAGTGAAAGATGTAGTCGAGTTATAAGAATGATGTGTGAGTGTGTGTGAGATTATGATTATGGCATGAGAAACTCTATGACCCCTTATCTTTACGAGTGGACATCAATCTAGGCATTGTTGCCCTCAAACTGTGTGATATGTAGAACCCTGTTGACGAAGGGACTTGCCCTGGACTGCTTTGTGGGCTGCCTGGTCCCCATCAGAAGGCTGGACCCGTTTGGGTCTGAAGTCATGAAGTATTGACGTGTGAGGCCTCGGTGATGTGTTCTTTTGGAGGACGAATCATATGTTGCTGCCACTACTGTTTTACTTGCAGCAGAGGTTTTACTGGTTTTATTTGAGTTTAGTGGTGTTGACTGTTTGACAGCGTGCAACCTAGGCTCTCATCACTGACAGGATGTTGGGTGGACCACCTTTTATAAACATATTAGTTGTTGTCTTGTTGTATTGTTGATTATTCCAACAGATTTTATTGGTTTTCTGGCATGAGGCTGCAACTGGATAAAAAGTGACCATGTGCCCAGTTATCAGCGGTTTCATGGCCATTCTGTGAATAGGTCAATGGTTGCAGCCTACTGCCAGATGTAGAGACCCATTTCATGTTAATTTGTGTTGCGTCCTTACACTGACATTGCAGTGAGATTTTCTACTGCAGTTGGCTTCCATTGTTTTGCTGTGCATTCCAAGGTAAATCAGCAGCCCATCTTCTAGAATGCTGTGTTCATTTTGATAGCTTCACTGGTGCCAGTGATCACAGTTCTGTTTTGTATGCCCACAATATGGGGTCCCGATCAGCAGCATCTTCCTGTCAGGTTCTTGGGCTGAGCTAGCACTGATACCCAATGGATCAAATCTCTCATTTGTGATGCCCATTTGCGCCAAACCTTTCACAGTGAAGCTCATGGGCCTAATTTCAACCTGTGCCCACACTCCTCTGGCAGACCTAGCCTCTATGGATTAAATATGTAGATATCAAACAAAATGTATATTTTTAGGAAAAATCCTACTGCCAGGGCTGTCCATTCGAAAGTGTTCTGATGGTCAGGTTTGGTTGAACTCTGGAAGAAGTCTGACGAGTGATACCGTCAGCTGTAGTTACGACATAGATGTGCCTTAAAACTGTAGTGTATGCAGAAGCCTGCGCGCCTGCCCCCATCTGATCATTGGCTACCCAGCTCATTCTGTTCACTGTGAGCTGGATTCAATGGTCTAATTCACTATAATGAAAACCTCCCCGACTTAATGACGAAGGTTAACATATATGCAGAGTATACACTTATACTAGTGTTTTGGTATCCATCCTAAGACAATAACGCATGACGCACATGATTCACAGAGGTAATATTTGTAGATTGGTACAGTTGTAGATTTTTACCTGCCTAAAGTAAAATCTTTGAAATGGTAAAATCAAACTTGTAATTTGTGCAAGGTTGATTTCATCTTCTATAAAGCATGTAAATGTCTCTTTCGATTATTTGTAAATCTCAATCTGATAATCTAATGTTGCTCATAAGTAAAGATTGTAGTCTGTCTCATGGTGATATTACATCTTCAATATTATGGATAAAAATTTACAGTTACAAGTTTATTTTTGTTTCTTAAATAACAAAATCTTTAAAGAAAAGTTTTGCCATCACACCTAAAGGTTTTTTGATGATGTAACCTATGAAAAGGGTTTTTGATGATGTAAGCCATGTTTAACTTCAGTGATTGAGCCAATTATATTATGGATTTGTTGTCTCGGTCAGGTTATGAAAAAAAAAAGAGTGTCAAGCTCAGAATGTTATGACCTTCAGTTTATATTTTCCTACTATTGTTACTGCTGTTTTGGTATATGTTTGTAAGTAATTAACAGTTAATGATCACAGTGAGATCTGATGTACCAGATTTACTTGTTAGTTTTGTGATGTCATCGGTAAATTATTGAAAAATTGTTCTGTTTTTATTGAATGTTATTGTTTAAAATGAATTCAAATGATTTAGGGAACAAGGACAAATTCGAATGAAGTAGTTTGGGAATCAGATTATGGACATTTTTCTTGTATGACAATTTGTTTAGATTGATAAAGACCAATCTTTATGGAATATAGTGAAACGGGCAGTAGCCTCAATAGGCTGGTGAAACTACACTGGCATAACCTAGCAGCTTGTCCAGGTGGCTCCCTCTAGATTGTCTCCATGTTAGTGACGTTGATTAAGAGGCAGGGCACGTAGGGTCACAGTAAGCTTTGACATGCATACCTCGACAGTATGGTATGAAAATGTCAAGAGAATTGCATTTAACTTTGTCATGAAATTTATTGTCTACAGCTGCATGGCAGCCATGTTGACCCCCCATGTGCCCAGTCAGTGAAACGCCTTCACTAATGCTTCCTTTACGTTTGCGAGTAGGCTTGTTCTGTATGAAAAAAAAAATCAATGCACAGGAATAGGTCTACAAATTTGCTAATTTCGAAAGTATGGAGAGTTACCTGCCCATGGAGTTCGCAACACAAGAGGGAGCCACCTAGAATGATTAACGAACAGGTTCAGGACCTTGTGGTCCACATTTACACATGTACAGTGCTACCTTGTTAAGGAAAGGATCTCTCTATTTGTACTGTAAAATTGTATATAATGCCTCTGATTGGTTAGATTTCTAATCAATTACATGTTATATCTGAATAAAGTAGTTAATTATTTTTGAAAAATATCATTTGGTTGTGTGTTTTTTGCAGGCTTTCAAGGGACCGGTCATGTGTTTTCAAGTTTGTTGGTTTGTTTAACGCCACACTCAGTAATGTCCAGGCTATATGACCGCGGTCTAAAAATAATCGTGTCTGGACCAGACAATCCAGTCATTGACATGAGCATAGATCATAGATCTAGGCAATTGGGAGCTTGACCACCCGTTCCTGTTAGTCGCCTGTTAGGGTGTTACAGGACTGTGTGGATCAGCGGAGGGTCATATAAAATATGACAGTCTCTGGGGGAAGGTTTTGAAAAAATTATAATACTATATTAAGTGTTTTTGCATTTTGTCTTCTCAGGGAGATTAATGAAAAATATGACAAGCATTAGGGGAGGGTAATTATTTTCACTTCGTTAGTGCATCATCAACCTCTTACCAACCCGCTGTAATAAATGACGGGGCCCCAATGTCTTAGTATGAACGGTGCATAACTTGGGGTAGGTTTTGAGCTGATTGACATTTAATTGACAACAGAAATAACGGATTGGCGTACGAGGTGAACGTATACGATTTTCATAACCTGTACCGCGAAGAACGGACTGACAATGGTCAGGTTTCCTGTTGTAAGTGTGGCAGGGCTGGGACGTCGACGTCTTGCAACAGCGCAAGTTACGTGTTCGTTTAATTATCAGACAGGCAAGCCTACCTTGCGAAATGTGAGCTACGCCCCGCTGGGCATAACTGTCTTGGACTAGATTCGATGTAAGGCGTGTCGTAACAATATCACTTATAATTACTTCTGACGTAGCTGTAACGTACCCCAGGGGAGCGCTTGGATGAACTGATGTTATTTTCATTTCTCAGTCTGTAGACTATATGTCGCATGTTCCTTTGATGAAAAAGAGCACCGTGGCCCAGTCTGAGGCGCGCCGACATTCGCTGTGCAGAGTTGCGCCCCAGAGGTTCATGAAGATTAGATTATCATTGGTTCGAATCTTTGATTTAACATGACTGTCACCATCGGTTTGTCAGCACCATACCCGTGCTCATTTCGCCAAAGTGGTATACGTCTAAGAACATCACTTCGGATTTCCCTTCATCATGCACGGCGTGATGTAACTGGAACACTCATCAAAGCACCATCAATTTCGGTTGGGGTTAGCCTAGTGGTTAAATCGTTCGCTCGTTACGCCGAAGACCCGGGTTCGATTCCCCACATGGGTACAATGTGTGAGGCCCATTTCTGGTGGTCCCCACCGTGATATTGTTGGAATATTGCTAAAAGCGGCGCACAAACCATACTCGCTCAAAGCATCATCAATTCGAACTCTTCCACTAGCAATCACGTAAATATTGTAAAAATTTTGAAGAAGAAAAGATTCAATAGGCTCGCATGTCTAGCATACGTGAACACTATACTGGTGTCCTGACCCGCTGAGAGGCCAATATTCCACAACAATCTCGCCTAGTTACGGTGGCTGTCACGTTGTCTGTGTGCTGGTTTGTTAGCTAATTCTCTGGTTGCTGGTTCGTAATGCTATGAAATGTCATTCCTATCAGATTTTGGTTGAACGACTGAGTCTAGACCGACACACATATACAGACCAGACCTTTCCATGTGGTATCTGACCGCGGTGTATCAGGGCTGTAACCCAAGACCCGTTGGCGTACAGAGCATTATGGCGGCCTTGTCAACCCAAGAGATTAACAGCAACCTTATACACCCCAAATACCCGGAATTGCGTCGGAGAAGTATCATATTAATACATTTGGGCCTCCTTATCTGACAGATCTGTACTCATAGATGTTCATGCATGAACACGACATGGCAGGAATATCGGTGAAACCCGAAGGTCGTTGACCAAGGTCACCCATGCTCGAAGCGTTACTGATTCATCTAAAGAAAAACAGTACATTAATTCCGTTGTCATGGGTACCAAAGTTATGAACACATCTCTTGAAAGGTTTCACTTTCCAACCGTCGTAGTACTTCATTAATCTCATATATACTAAATGAAACCATAGAACTTATTGATATGTGTTTATAAACACCTGCGATCTTTCTCTGTCATTTTTATTAGGATTTAATCTGCGATCTTGGCCTTTGACCATTGAAAGGTATGATAACGGGTCTTTTTGGCCCACATGATCTTCCTTGTTTATTAAATGGGCAAAACATTCAGAAATACAGCCACATGTGTTCCTGTGAATGAGACCAGGACTTTGTGGATTTCAACACTTTGGACTTGAAAAAAACCACTAATGTATTGAGAAGGGGTGGTTTTAGAGTGTTTTAGGACGCATTTATTTATTTTTGAACAAGTATTTGATCAAGTTTATATGATTATAAATGGATATATGGTAATTATTTTATCTTGAATCCAGAACGTGTAGTCACATTGTCGGCAAGTTTCGCCCATTGAGCAATTCTAGTAGACTTGATAATGCCAGAACCCACAAACTTGCAAATGTATGAAACAGAAAGAGGCTAGTTGGCAGAAATTTGAAAATGTCTGATAATTTTCAAACTAATATAAACTTTAAAAACATTCCAGACATTTCTAATGGGCCAAAAGGGGCCTTATCGTGTCACGTCATGTACGACCCCGACCCCATCATGTCACCTGCGACAAGGAAAATTGTATCCCGTCTATAATATGCTGTCAAGAATATAAGATAGTTTTACCAAGCTACCAAGCTACCAAGCTACCAACCAACAAATACTTGCCAACGACAAGTTACTTGAAAACAAGTGTTTGTAAGTTATTTTCAAGTTCTTTCTTTCGAATTAATGCACGCGTTTAGCAATGCATAGAATACAACACACCCACTTTAGTACGAATGTAGGGACCTTTACCATTGACGTGAAAGCTTTTCTTATGACGGCCTTAAGATAATATATTCATGTAGGCTATCTATGGGCTGGAGCAGAACCATATCCAGCTTATAATATAATGATATCGACAGTTACCGAAACAAAATCACCGTTGCGGAAACCATCCATTTAGCAACAGATCAGATGCGTCCTTCAATACAAGAGTAAGGGAGACATTGTACAAAGCAGTCTGTCGTAGGTCATTCGTCGGTGCGGGATATATTGACAAAAGAAACGAACAGGTCAGTGACTGGGACCTTTTGGTAGAGTCACTGGTGGTCTACGACAATTAACGTCTTAACCGTATTAAGTGCCCTGCACCAATAAGCGTCTTTGGACCAAATATTCTGGACCAGCCTCCGAGTAATCTTCATCCATTACTGAGACCGAAAGTTTACATTAGAGTCCCTATTCTCCTTACGCAGTACGCAGACAATCGGTTTTCTTCGATCTGTGCAATAAAAAATATTATCGAAGTAATGATGTGGGTCATTGTTTCCTGAATCACCGGAAGTGCACGGGAGCAAGGGTATAGACCATACACCGTACAAGAAAATAACACAAGACTGTATTGACTGCAGCGTATATAAACTGCTAACCAAAACTACAAAGGCCTTATTTTGCCATGTCAATGTGGAACTCAGTTAAAAATTATGTCAACAGTTTGTGTACGGTCTAGAAACTTACGATAAAGGGAGACAATTTGCGGGGAGGTAACTGTTGTATGACAAAACGTCCGTCAGAGTGTTTTGTTCACTGCAATGAAAATATCCCTTTTCTCCACTTCATAGAAGTCAGTCTTTCACACTTAAGTATATGATAGAAGTCAGATGAACTGCTGTGACATTAGTAAACTATATTTTTTATCAGTACTTTTCAGTACGAAAATACGCACTTGAAGATTTTAAGTATAGTGTTTGATATAACCACTAGGCTACCCGACCGCCCCTTTTGAGTTTTAGCCGCTTACCAAAAGAGCAGCGTGAAATCAGTGGGACACGATGATTATCAATAAGATAATTGTCACATCACAATCCTTCCACAGCAACACCTCATGGTATTGATAGTCTACATGTAAAAACGACTCGCATCCAGGTAAATATCACGAACCTCGTCTAGGACCGACCTCATTACGCACCCCGGTTCTCGGTATCCCAGAATATGTATAAGTATTAAGTTTCGTGTAACAAATTCTATTTCTAAAAAGCAATATACGAGACATTCGTGTTGTTTTTGAACGCACGATGTTTCAATGTTCGCTATTAACCAACTATGCACTGTGCATATTTATATAGGTAAACGTGCGTTAAATATATAGTTGTGTTTGGTCATGTAAATATTGTTATTGACCTTATCGCATTTATTCATATTACAAGGATATAATGCTCAGTACGGGAGGTTCATATCTTTCAACGCTATATTTGTTTGTTTGTTGTTTAACGCCGCAATCAGCAATATTCCAGCTATGTGACGGCGGTCTGTAAATAATCGAGTCTACTAGACAATCTAGTGATTGCCATCATGAGCATCGATCCACGCAATTGGGATACGATGACATGCCTCAACCAAGGCAGCGAGCCTGACCACCCAATCCCGTTAGTCGCCTCTTATGACAAGGATAGTCGCCTTTTAAGGTAAGCATTCGTTGCTTAAGATTTATTTTTCACGGTTTTCAAGCTATGTAATGAATATAGCTTTATCCTTGAGTATCGGCTTGTACAAACGTCCTCAGCAAGATAACCGTTTTACGACGGATCCTGGTAGTTATGTTTTGTCATGCCATAAGATTTAACATTTGTATTATACCTTACAAATTGTTTTACAGGGGAACGGTGGAGTAGTCCAGTGAATTAAGCTTTTGTTCGTTACGCCGAAGACCCGGGTTCGATTCCCTACATGGTAACAATGGGATGAGATTCAATGAGAAGTTTCCTGTTTATGAGTCAGTCATGAAATTATCTCAGCTTTGTTATTAACGTCCGTGAAGTCTCCCGCAGCGAAATTGTCACTGAAAATGTATGTCTAGACATTTGTCTGTGAAAGGTGTCATAACAAGACTACGTACAAAAAAAGTTACTAATTAACACAGGGTATAAAACGATAATTGTTTTCAACTTAAAATCTATTTGTTTTGAAGGATTGTTTT